TCGCTTGGGTTGGGTAGACCACAAAAACTTTTAGTCCTATTCAATCCAGATTGGACAGTGACAAAAAAAGTCTGCTGCTTCAATATTCGAGATTTTGCGGAGAAAGGGGAGAACCTCAGAACCTCCCAACCTCCGTACTGTATAATGTATTGGGAGAAAAAAAAAATTTATTTTGAGTATTCGATTACTTTCCTTTTATTTAAGCCATTTCGAATATTATTCCTTAGAAAGCTAATCTGTGTAAAAACACACCCATTTTTGGAAGTTTATTTATACTTCAGCAGTTACTGCAACTATATTATTATAAATATTCATTATAAATATTCATATAAATTCTCCTAATATAAGCATAATGATCATAATAAACACGAATATGAACTGACCACGCCGAACGAGAATGCAAATTATTAAAATCTTGATAGAAATCCAAACGTGTAGTATTTGGGTGGGAGGAAATGAATACCGAATGTACCGGATTTTCTACCGTTTTCGCAATTCTTTGACCAATAGAATGACGTGCACATGGCTGTATTCTAGCGCGCACCATAGGTTACGTTAATGCAGAGAAAGGGGGGAAAGCAATTTCCGTGAGTATGATTCACCATCTGACGTTGCATATAAGGAAGAAAAGTTGTTTATTTAGTTTCGGCTTTGGTACGGGGAAAAAATGCGCGTTCATTAAGCACTAAAAGCAAAAAATAAGGACTTTAAAGTAAAAGTAAGCACCTATAAGGGCCTTTATATTTTATTTTCAAATATAAGGACTTATAAAAGCACTTGTAAGGACCACTACGAACCCTGTCTTTGCTTGCTTCAATGATTGTGTCTAGTGGAAAGATAAGAAAATAACGGAAGACTTCTGGAATCAAAAAGGAATTCAAATAATTTTGAATTCAAGATTGCAAAACTTTCCCTGACAATTTTTTTCCAGAAGGTAACAACCAATCACTTCCCCATGTTCAAAACCATTCAGCTCAAATTTCCTCCCAATGTGCTTTTCTAGATTGAAATAACAGCTGAAAACTTGTGTAGTTAGAAGCTCAACTTCAATGGTGATTTTAAAAAGTATCTGGATGCTTTTGAGCATATAGTGTATATGGATATCAATGATACATATTGATGTATCATAATGCAATACATATTGATGTTACTGTGAAAGACCAAAATTACAGAATGTCAACTTTCACCAGAAAGCATCAACATTCACTAAATACGTCGGTGAAAGATCGAATATTGCATTACATTCTTGTACATTCAGACCCTCGGCGGTGTATGTCAACAATCAGAGGTACAATTCGATTTCGGGGACCGTAAAATATTGCAGCGAAAATGCATGCGCAAGCGCCAAATCTAGCAAACTCGGCCATTAAACAGCACGCCAAATCTCGTGAACGCGCTGATTTCAAATTGCTTAAGTTTTGGATAGTTCTATATTTGTAAGTCGCCATTGAATACTAACTAGTTTAATTTTTTAATTCTCTGTTTGATAAAGCTATGGATTTTACAATTTGGTAATTGTCGAGTGAAAAAAAGTCTGCAATAGAATTTTTCAAAAAAAAAAAAAAAGGGCATAATTTATGATAGAAAATTATGTTTGAACAATCATGAGATGAAATTATGCTTTATCGATAACTCGGTAGCAAATTGGCGATGCAGGAAAGAAACCTGTAATGAGAAGAAAGGATTGAGAATTCAAAATTGGTTTGAAGAATCGAAAATCCCCTTCCTTACAGCCGTTAGGTTCATCTATATTTGGTGTCAGGAAATGACATCTGTTGAATTTTGTGAACTCCAGCTCAAGATGAACCACAGTACAGTTGTAGACTGGAACAGTTACATGCATGAGGTGTGTGCCTCAGCTTTAATTGCTCGGCCCAAGTCTAAAATTGGTGGATGTGGCAAAATTATTGAAGTAGACGAAAGCCTTTTCAGTAAAAGAAAGAACAATGTTGGACATGTTCTTCCGGCACAATGGGTTTTCGGCGGATTATGCAGAGAATCAAATGAATGTTTCTTAGTCGCTGTTCCAGATCGATCGGCGAAAATCTTATTGAACATCATAAAGGATAATATCACAGAAGGAAGCGTTATTTATAACTGACTGCTGGAAATCATACAAGTCAGACGAACTGCAAGATGCCGGTTTTGAACACTTTACTGTCAACCAGAACTACAATTTTGTGGACCCGGAAAGTGGATGTCATACACAAGCAGTAGAACGGCTGTGGGGCAGTGCTAAATGTTGTAATAAACGCCATCGAGGCACTGCTCGACAGCATTTTGATTCTTACTTGTCCGAGTTTATGTACAGATGTTTGCACCAAAAAACTGAATTTTTTCTGCTACGTTGGAAGACATAAAAAATTTTATGCCACCCGTTTAATTGCAAGTATATTTAGCCTTTTTTTTTCATAAAGTAATACAAAATGGTATTATATGAAATTAACATCTCATCTAAATTAAAATAAAAATCTGAAATAGGTATTTACTATTATGTTTCCATTCAGTTATGTTAGCCTTTTTTATATAAATAATAATAAAAAATTGTATAATGTGAAATTAACCTTTTATCTAAATTAAAATAATAATCTGAAACAGTTATTTACTCTTATGCTTCCATTCAGTCATGTTTAGCCTTTTTAATATAAATTATAATAATAAAAAGTACTATATGAAAGTAACTTTTCATCTAAATTAAAACATCAATCTTAAATAGTTATTTACTATTATACTTCCTTTCTTGCGCTAGGGTTGCCGCAATTATTTTTGGCAGCATTGGCATCAACAATAGCTTCGCGATTTTTTACGGCCCTCAAAACCGAATAGTACCCAATCAGATATGCTCTGATGCAAGTTGACAAAGAGGCGACTGGCTGTTTCCCGCCAAATCTTTTGTTCTGGTGGCAGTCAGCTTTGTCAGATTTATGCAAAGTTTGATGGTGCAAGCAACGTTTTCTAAAGGTAAACGAGAAGACAATTGTTTTTATTTTTCTCAACAAAAGTATTCTAAAATACTTTCTGAAGTGGTTTCCGCTAAAACTAGTGCAACACATTTGTGAATTGCAGACGATTAAAACATTTTGACGTTTTAAAAATTAATGAAGAGAAGTTAATCATACCATTAAAACCAGGAGAAACGAATATACAGTATTATGTTACCAATTAGGAATTGTTCAGTATATTATATAAAACTCGCACCAGAATAGGCCACGGAGGAAGAACACGTATGCTTAAAGAGTTGCAAATTAAATACAAAAACATTATATATAAAGTTGTAATGTTGTATTTAAATTTATGCAAACAGTGTCAAATGAAACACAGTGCACCTAAGAAAGGTATTGTTGTGAAACCCAAGATGTCAAGTTGATCTGATAGATCTGCAGTCAAACATAGATGATGAATACAAGTTCATAATGGTGTATCAAGATCATTTAACTAAGTTTGACCAGCTACTGAAGAAGTAGTGTATCACATTCTTGCAATATTTTCAACATTTTGTGCTCCAGCAATATTGCAATCAGATAATGGTAGAGAATTCAGTAATCAAATCATATCCGAAATAAGCGCTATGTGGAAAGATGTTAAGATAGTTCATGGAAAGCCTCGTCACAGTCAACCACAAGGCTCAGTTGAAAGGGCCAATCAGGACATACAGAATATGCTCACTGTATGGATGAACGATAATGATACAAATAAATGGGCAGAAGGTTTACCCTTTCAATTTGCCAAGAACACTGCATACCACAAATGAATACACCAAAGTCCTTATGAAGCCATCTTTGGCGTTAAAGCAAAAAGAGCCATTGTCTTTTTTGACTAGCAAACAAATCGCAAATATTGAAACCGAAGAGCAACTTGAAGAAATTGCCAATACTTTTGAAACCAAAGAACAGCTTGAAGAAACTGGTAATACTTCTGAAAAAATTCTGAGCGCTGGTCATACCGAAAACAATATTCCAAAGAAAAATATTAAAGAGGACTTGCAATCTACCACGTCTTTACATCAAGTTCTGATTGAAAAACATGAGTTAATTTCTATAAAAAGAGCAGCTGCGAAAGAGAACTGCAAGCAACAAAAATGTTATAAACCTCACAAAAAAAAAATTTCTTCCTGCTCAAATTTGTGATATAGTACGAATACAAGTCCCCGATGTCGACCGTGGTTGTACAGGTAAACGAAATGTGTTAGCGGTTGTTGGAATAGAAGATACCGACTTCTATAAACTTGCAAATGAAAATGGTACCCTCAAGCAGCTTTACACATGTAATCAGTTCATAATTTGTAAAGAAAAGGTACTTCTCATAGATGAGATTTATTTTCAAGAAATGTTGCTGAGAGAAGCAACTGCAGATAATTCAAGAAGCAGTGGGCAAGGCTATACATGCTGTCATTTCAAAAGGAAGTGTTCTGCAAATAAATGCAGTTGTAAAAGCAAGGGCTCTTGTGCATTTCAAAGTGTCATAATAGTTTAAGTTGTTGCAATAAATAAGATTTAAATCACATAATTTAGCAAGATTTTTATTACTATTATTTTATCTTCTCATTTAGAATGTACTGTATAATTAAGAGATTTTAACTTCTATTATTTTCCTTTCTCATTTTGAATGTACTGCATTTTAAGTTCTTATGCTCTTATTTAAGTCTCAAGTGCGTTCGTGACTGAATTACGGAGAAGAAAATATATTCTTATATGTTCAACATTCACCATTAGTACATGGTGAATCTCGACATTTACCGGTATAAGTCAGAAATAAGAGTATTTGGAAAATATTTCGGACATACACCAAGCGACTATGTGAATGCTGACATTCTCCAGACTTCAGTGCTTCACTTTAACATTGATACATAAACACTGAATAACTAATATTTCAAATGTATTTTCTATATTTGTTACTTTTTACTTTCATGTAAATAAAAAACACACATTACTATCACTTGTCACATATAGTATATTTTAGTTAATGTTAAATGAGAAAGCAAAAAAATATTCGTCACTCACATTTGCTTCTGAAAAAGCTTCCAGATATATTTATTCCATCACACCTGACAACTACAACTTTTTGTCCTGAAAATATTATAAAAATATTTATTAAAATTATTAGTTCAAAACTTCTCAACTTTAACAACAAAAAATAATCTGAAAACTCATAGTCACTATGACACTGCAGTCAGCATATAGATATTAATATTTAATTAGATAATCTAAATTTTATGTCTAATTTATGTCTTTTTGCTAATTTTATTTCGTAATTTTTATATTAAGAAAATTCTGAATAGAGAAACAAAAAGTTTTTATTTATGAAAATACTTTTGTAAGTATGACGAAAATAAAATTAATGCAACATTTATTGATATAGAACAAATTAAATACAAATATTAACAGCTTAAACATTGGTTGAATTTTAATAAAAAATTTCACAACAATATAAGACAGTTCAAATCAATAAAATTTAACGAGAAAAATTATACTGAAAAGGGGTGGGAGAATAGAATTTGTAAACTCTGCCTTCAGCCTTCGTGAGTGTTGCTTTTCGTACCAATTTGATTATGAGCACAGGAAATTATCCTACATTGGGTAAACTTGCTATACCACCAAATAAGCTTTATTGGAGGGTGCCAGTAACTAATAATTCCAATGATAATCCTATGGATTTAATCAAAATAACAGACACTGCTAGTAATATGGATGATAAAATAATAAAAAATAAACTACCTAACAGTATAATCGGAATAAACTAACATATGAAAGGAAATTACAATTTCACACCAAGATGAATGAATGTGACCACATCAGTTGCAAACTCAAATACTTAAATGAATTTCATGGCTACAATATCCAAACGAAGACTAAGCAGCTAGAACTTACACAGAATAAGCATGATCTTATCTTCTAGTGCCCTCCCCAGCAATCATTTATTATACTGGCTTGGATCTATACATTAGCAGTCTCGGCACTGGGAGATAAAAACATGAGACTATCAGTTTCCTATAAGCAGGTAACCCTGGCTTTGATAATTTGACTGACTCACAAGTTATGGTACAGTAAACTCTGTGTTGGTGCCAGTGTGAACAGCGGGAATAGTACAAGCATTTTGACGACCAATGTGATCTCTGAGAACCGAAAGTGGTGACATCACAGGCTCGGGGGAAGTACAGAGAAAAACTGCTGCATCAGATTGGTGCCCAAGGCAGCAGCATATTTAGCATATTATTTTACCAATTGGGGAATTCCAACTGCTGGTGCTCCACCCCCTGCCTAAAATATGGGACCAGTCTGTGTAGTGCCAAATAAGTGGAGCACGTAAGACAAACATCATATTATCTTCTAGCACAACCCTATGCTTGATTATGAAAACCCTAAAATCAACAACAGAAAAAGGGATATCCTGTCCGTTAATTCTGAAAAATCTCAATGGAATTATATTAAACCCACTAGTAAAGCTAAAAACATCAAAAGAAACCAACTAAAAAAAATATTCATGATTATATCTCTGTTGCTAACAGATTCAGTGCAATACTCTGCTAATGAATATATTCGCCTGACAAAAAATGCAAGATATTTATCTAGTACCACTACTTATGTATATCTTCACTATATTTCATCTCACTTTGTGCAATCTATAGAATGAGATCTGATGGACACAGTACAAGAATGAGCAGGGAAGAACAATAACTAAAGCCATTATTTTAATATCCTGTTACAACTATGAACGATTAACACTAAAATGGCCATCCTTTCATATATCCTACAACAGCTACCGGTTTATTGCCAGTAATTAACTGTTTCAAACAAAAATACCACAAATATTAGTAATCTTATGTTATCAGGACTGGATTAAAAAAATTTACGCATGTATGTGTTCATGCATGTTTAGATGTACATACATGTGTGTATACAAATACATTCACATATTTCTCAATCCAGTCTCGATAACATAGAGTTTCCAAATATTAAGTGTGCCACATAGCTGATACGAAATAAGTCTAAAATCCATAATGATCTAAAATCAAGACCACTGGATCACCTGCAATTTTTCTCCTAAGAAACTTTTAGTAATTACATATTAAGGTAACCACCATGGTAGAAATGGGCTATTTTTTACAGATTAAAAGGTAAAAGTTACTTATGAAGTGCAAGTTGGTTGTTTTCAAGACTTCTTTTAAGATTCCCAAACTATCGATATTTATCTTAAAGCAATAAACATTATCAACATATGAAAAGAAAACATACTTTAGCAATTTAAAATACTAATTTAAATAATTAAATAAGGATTTAAAAAACATTTGTATTCTTTTTGTGACTTTTGTGATTTTTTCGCACTTTTCTTCTTTCGAAGTACACAGTGATCTGTTTTTGCCTTAAACAAAACAAAGAGAATTGCGGAGACTTGGCTTCCTGCAATCCTCAGCAACAATGGCTATCAAGGAAATGCATTTCCTCATTGTTTGTTCTCTTTACAAACTTTTCAGCAGTATTCTTTATTCTTGCAGAAATTTTAACTCTGCTTCTTTCACTGTTGGCAAATTTCACAAGCTCATATTTTATAACCAAAGCAAAAAATCACAAAAAGAGAACTTGGAATACAAACAAACAAAAAAAGAACGGCTGTGAAAATGGCAGCATTGCTTGACTAAAGGATTATTACAAGCACGGTTGCCTGAAGAATGGTTATGCACATGGTAGCCAGAGTTTGGCCAATCTGAAAATTTGACTTCTACTAATACGCAAGTACTGAATATTTTTATATGCTTTACGTATTTTTCATAATAAAACATGTGGAGAATTCAGATTCTTAATTTCACTTTAGCACTAAATAAAATACTTCCATAATGAAAAAACAATCATTAGTTAGGCCCTGCAGCCACCTTTTTGCTTGGCATACATCTCAAACTGAAAATTCTGCATCAAAATATTGTTGATTTAACATAAGGTTACTATTTACATTTCTGGCCTTGACAACAGTAATGTTGCTAGACAAACACAAACGATTCCAATCGAAAGTTTGATATTTTTAACCATAACATCTTCTGAACATTTTGCCATTGAAACGTGATTTGTTCTGTTTACAGTAAACTGGAAAAACTTATCTCCGGCAAAAAACTGAATTGACCCATGAGCATTTTCATGCGACTTTCTACGAACTTTTGATGTGGATTACCAAGAAAAAAAGTGCTTCAATGAACTTTATACAGAATTCTTTACATAGGGATAAAGCATCATTCTACAGCAATGCAAAAAACTGGTAGAGTAGAAGTCCAGAAATCTGCAGAGCTTGGGACCAGAGGTTGTGCAGATTTTAGGATTTTGTGGATTTCAAGACAGATAAGATAAATCATAATATTCAGACTAAAAGCGCAAAATAAATAATGCGTATTAGATACATTTAATTTAAATTATTATATACATTATTGCAATAACTTGTTACATGTGTTAAATTGTTATTACATATATAAATTGATTATACAGTCAAAAGTCGTTAATCCGGACTCGTCGGGACTTCACCGATTCCGGATTATAGATCATCAGTTTAAATCTGGTAAGATGGCATGCAGAAATTACAAAATTAAAAATATGAAATCATAATTTATGAAATAAAGAACAATTATGACCTAAAGGGTATCAAAATTTACAAAAAGAAAAAGCTTAATATTTATTTGTTTACTTTATTAAACATTTCTTTCAATATAAGTTGTTTAAGTTGCTTCGTTTCATGTGATAATACTTTCTCTTTAATTCTATTAAACAGACATAATTTCTTGTTTAGTTACAAAGTTCCGCTGTTCAAGTCCTATAATTGCTGTGTCGAGAATACCGACTACTGTCTGTCTACGGTAAGAACACCTCCCGCCACGGTGTCTGGCGGGTGGCGGTCGCTATAGCAACAGGGCTAGTATATTTCAAATAGGGACGAACCAAGGGTTGCTTTATTGTTATTTTATTTTTGGCGACTGTTGGCTGAAGGGAAAAGAGTTTATCATTCGTCTTCTTGGTTTCATTCCAGCTGCACGCATCTTTTCTTAAGCCTTATATTATTATTATTAGCTATTTTTATTCTCGTTGTTTATATCTTTTGTACTGGTATTTGTTCAAATTTGCTTCTATTTAGCTTGATTTTCATAGTGCTTTGTTAATCGCCAATTTTTAAAATGCCCTTCCAGTTTCAAGAAAGGTCAACCTTTAAAGTCTCAGGCACGTCAAATCGTGTACAATGTCGCAGAATTTTGCGCTTCTGAAGCTTCGGCGAACTCTTTAGTAGTTCCTCTTCCTCAAGTTTTGAAGAGAACGTCGCAAGCTACTGGAGTATCGGAGTATACAATTAAAAAAATTAAGCGCGAAGTATCAACAATGGGGGAAGATCAACTTCTAAATACGCCTGGAAAGAAACGTAAAAGCCCTGCTAATCATAAGTGCGAAATTGACGATTTTGACAAATGCGTTATACGGCAGACTATACAAGACTTTTACATCAAAGAAAAGAAAGTGCCATCTGTGCGGAAATTATTGCCTGTCTTGAGGCAAAAAATAGACTTCCCGTGGCAAAAAGACTCATTGTGCAAAGTTTTGCGTTCGATGAATTTTCGCTGGAAGAAATGTGTTAACAAAAGAAAAATTCTTATCGAAAGACCTCACATTGTATTTTGGAGGAACAATTATTTACGCGAAATGAGGAAACTCAGAGCAAGTGGACGCCACATCGGTTACATCGATGAAACATGGATTGACAGCAATTTAACTTTTAAGAAATGTTGGCAGCATGATACGGTTTTGGGCGCACAGATAAATGTCAGTTCCAAAAATAGACTGATTGTTGTCCATGCTGGCTCTTCCGCAGGATTTATTCCAGGTGCCCAACTTATTTATAAAGCATCAGCTCAAAGCGGGGATTACCATGGGCAAATGAACTATGGAAATTTTGAAAAATGGGTGTTGGAAAAGCTTCTTCCAAATTTACGACCTCAAAGTGTGGTATGCATGGATAATGCCCCGTATCACACAAAAATTGAAGATCCGACACCCACGAAATATGCTACAAAGCAAACAATGGTAAATTGGCTGATGAAGAA